TTTAAGACTTACTCCGTAGTGGGAAACTTGTGCCTGATACTGAAAATCTGGTCAAGAACCCATGATTGAGGAACTCATAGCCTCTAAGGGTGAACCTACTACTATTATTTTGCTAAATGGACATAGCATCAAACTGCCTTCTAAATTTGTCTATACTCATAGATTAGTGTAGCTCTCAGACCTCATCAGAGATATTTGTGAAGTGGGCTGTAATGCTGAAACTAACAACTGGTCGAAGTGCAGTGAATAAGTGACTGTAGTGTGCTAAGGCACAAGGTTTAGGGACATCGAGGAAGAGGGGGCAGAAAGATTGTAAGGGCCAGAGGTTTTGGAGGACCCAATTGAAACAGTGTCTTCTGGACATTTTAGGACCACTGCACTCATGAACTCGCAGCAGCTACAGTTCCCTATACAAGACCTGCACAAGATCAAGCCAGTCAACATTCCTGCACGGAGAGGAGAGGGGTTCAAAGCCCTCATCCCTATCTGAGGGGAAGGGAGAGTCAGTGTTCTTTGGGTGTGGCCCCTGGTAGATTAATCAGGCTCAGTAGATAGCCCCATACCATGAGTATATGGGCCGCACTAATGGGATTTAAAAAAAGAGGAGGACGTGAAGTTGAGAGGGGGTGGAGGGCAGATCTGGGAGAAGTAAGAGGGGAGGAATGGCTGTAAATATAATCAAAATACATTATATTCATGTATGAAATATTCAAGAATTACTAAAAATATTATATTAAAAAGACAAAAGGAGGGGCTGGAGAGATGGCTCAGAGGTTAAGAACACTGGTTGTTCTTGAGGAAGACCTGGGTTCAAATCCTAGCACCCACATGGCAGTTAACTATCTATAACTCCAGTCCCAGGGGATCCGACATCCTCTTCTGGTGCACTTACGTACATGCAGGCAATACATGTATACACATAAAATAAAATAAAATTTTTTTTAAAGTTACAAAAAAATAAAAAAAGACAAAAGAAATCCAGGCGTGGTGGTACATGCCTTTAATCCTAGCACTTGGGAGGCAGAGGCAAGTGAATCTCCGTGAGTTCAAGCTCAGCCTGGTCTACATAGTGAGTTCCAGGCCAGACAGGGCTATGTAGTGAGACTGTCTCAACAAACAAACAACAAACAAGCAAATAAACAAACAAACAATAAATAAATGAAAAGAAAAAATTGGGAGGGGTAAGAAGGAGGGGTTGATCTTGGAGGAGTTAAGGGGAGAAGCAGGGGTGATTGTAATCAAAATATGTTGTATGCATATATGAAATTCTCAAAGAATAAAAATATATTAAAATTTAAAAAGGTTTCATTATGATGTTTCTATATACACATATAATGTGTTTTGATAATTTTCAACCCCTCTATGGCTCTCTTTCTTCTTTCCTCCTTCCCCTTCCACATCACTGACAGTCCCCCTATCATTTACTTTTTCTGTCCTTTCCCCCTACATTCCATGTATGGTTGTCAACATTCAGCATATGTCTTTGTGAGACTGGCTTGCCCTGAATGGTTTCAATTTGGTTCTAAGTCATGATATGCAATGACTCCTGGACGTTGGGATGAAGAACATGAATTCAACAATACTATTTAGGTTTTTTTTTTTTTTTTAAAGAAGCTTTGTATTGACTACTTGTTGGTCTGCTCAGGCTGCCACAGAAGGTATGATTACTTTTTAATGTAATTTTTAATTGAATTTTTGAGAATTTCATACAAAACATTTTAATCATCTTTATAGCCCCTTCCCCCATTGGAGCCCTCCCATAGTCCCTGTCCCATAACCCCCCTTCCCCACTGGAATTCACACATTCTGTCATTTGTGTTAAGACCCATCAAGTTAGTGTCCCTAGACACTCCTCAGTGCAAGTTCATCCACTGAGGTCTAGTCAGCTTATCTAGAGTCCCTCCCTTTAAGAAGATCAGCAGATCAGTACCTCCTCACCCAGCAGTAATCAGCTGCCCAATAGTTCTTCAGCTAAGATTGGGGCTGGCTGCCCATTCCCACACTTCTGTGCTGGGTTTTTGTCTGCTTGAGTTTGCATGGATCTTGTGCATGCTGACACCATTGCTGTAGGTTCATATAAGCAAGGTCCCAGGAGCTTGTAGGACTGTTTCCATATGGTCATGCACCTCCTCCCTGGCTCTGACAATCTTTCCACACCCTCTGGTATGACTTTTGATGTTTATATATTTATTAAATGCTTCAACTTTGCCAAAAGCCTATTGCAAAGGTCCATGGATTGAAATAAACCAAATCAATGTATTAAATGTGATCTCTCAGCCCCAATCATGCTTTCAAGGTGCCACATCTGTAAGTCCACAGCAGCTTTTCTTGTCTCATGATGCCAGGTGATTGATTACAAGTGTGCAGGTGAGAGGGCAGAGAAAAGCACTCAACTGAGCCCAACCTGGAGTTCAGAATCATGTACAAAGAAAGGAAGTCTGCTTTTTTAAGCAACAAGGTTTGGGGCTTGTTTATTATGCAACAATAGATAACTACAAGTTTTTTTTAATACACCAAGTGACTTTGTTATCTGTATTTTTTTTTTTTTTTGTCTTTTTGAGACAGGGTCTCCCTGTAGCCCCAGCTGTCCTGGAACTATGTAGACCAGGCTGGCCTCGAACTCACAAAGATCTGCCTGCCTCTGCCTCCCAAGTGCTGGAATTAAAGGCATGCATCACAACGCCTGACTGTTATCTGTATTGTTTTTAAAAACTTATAGAATATATATTATGTTCTATAACTGTTGATGTGATGAGGGGCTGTATGCATAGGCAGGCAATCTGTACAGCTACCTGGGGTCTTATGCTGGGAAGGCCCTCAGCTTGGTTTAATGCTCTACTATTGCTATCTTGACTTTTAAACTTTAAAATATCTATTTTGTGTGAGCATGTCTGTGTGTGTGTCACAGCACATGTGTGGAAGTCAGAGGACTATTTTCAGGAGCTGATTCTTGCCTTCTATCATGTGGGTTCTGGGGATGAACTTGGGTTGTTAGGCTTGGTGGCTAACACATTTACTTAACTATTTTGCTAGCCGTATCTTGAAATTAAATTTTTTATTTAATAATTTTAATTTTATGTGTGTTTTGCATGCATGCATGCAGTGCTCGAGGGGGCCAGCCCCACAGTTTTATTTTGCATTTGATCTCATAAAATCTGTATCCAGTCCTAAGTCAGTGGCAATTAAAAGCTAATCTGCTGACCTTTATGTCAACAGCTGTCTGGACTTGCTAAGTTTCTCCACATTCTATTTTCTAACCTGCAGGTGTGGCCAAACAACTACAAAACTAGATGGTGTGATAGAAAGAGGCCTTGATTAGGAATCCCCATATCTGCTTCTGATTTCTCTGGTTAGTTATATGACTAACTCTAAGTCTTCCCTTGTAGCTCTGAAGTCACTGGACCCACAAGGCAGCTACCCGCAGTAGTCACAAAATCAAGCAGCACTTACTAGCACTCACCTGTGCAAGCTACCTAACGCTCTGAGATTCACCCCAAACCATGATGTGCTTGTACAGTCTCAACAGATTCCCCAGTCATATTTCAGGGCTTTCTGCTTGCTTTCTGGACTGATTTATCCGAAAACCCAAGCTCCATCTGTAAAACTGGACCCTCTTCCATTGATCGATTACCATGTGAACATTCAAGATGCTGAGCCCCTGGGGCAGAGGGTGCAGATCACAGTCCCTGCCAAGTGCCGGGCTCCCTTCTATGTCCCATTCATGTTTATACACAATGTTTTCAGATGGTTTGGAACTACTCGTTATTAGTTTTCCAGTAAGGAAAGCGAGGCTCAACAAGGTAAAGAAACTTAGAGCTAAAGAGTCTGCTTCCAACAGCACCTACTCTTAATGCCACAATCAGCACCAGCAGCATGGAAACACTTGCTTCTGCTTTATCCCAGCACGGTCTACAGTCCCACCCTTCCCCCTTCCCAAGGTCAGATGGAGGGGGCTTGTAAAGGATACCAGGGAAGGGAGGATTCTGCCGGGCCAGGAGCAAAGCTAGAAACGCACTCAGGTCCCAGCCAACAGGAGCCAACCTACGCTGGCGCCCAAGACCTCACACTTCTCGCTTTGGTGTGCACGAACCTGCTGGAAGCCCAGGGGCGGCAGGCGCGTCCTCGCCGTAGCCTTCCGGTTCCCACCCGCTCCGGGCGCACGTGCTTAAAGAGCCCCGGCCCCTCCTGCCTCCGCGCGGGCGCTGCGGACCTCAAGTTTCCTACGAGAGTCGAGCGCCCAGCGCCTCGCCAGCGCCTCCCGGGCCCCCGCCGCAGTCTCCGCCCGCGGGGAGAAGGGTGGGGCGCCGCGAAAGAGGGGTCCCGGCGCTGCAGTCGTCGCGGCAACAGCGACAGCAGCAGGTGGAGCTGAGCCTGGCCCAAAACCCGCGTCGCAGCAGCCGCCGGGCCGGGAGCTGCCCTGAGAGGTTGGAGCCCACGCCGCCCGGGTCCGACCCAGTTTCCCGAGTACCCAAGCCGGACACGGTTGGGGCCGGGGCTGGACGTGCCTTGGGGCGCACAGCTGTGCTGGAAGCTCCGAGCTGGGACGGAGGATTAACTGGACTTGGATCCTCTGGGCCACCCAAAGACTTGTACCCCGCGGAGAGCCACCGTGGGCTGTGGTCTCTCAGCCTTGGGCATCTCACCGCGCGCTGTAGGCGCCCGGGTAGCGCGGGCGAGTCCTGCGCGGCGCCTGGCCCCTCTGCTTCGTCTGGGGCGCGGACAGCTCTTTCCAGGGGACCGGACCTCTTGCGGTGGTCCTCCGAGGAGTCCTCGCACCCTGCGCCCTGTTGGTCTGGAGCCTCGCTAGTTGGCACTGGTCTGCAGGTGCTCTCTACTGATTAGATCTCTTCTTCGGTTTAGGGACAGTTGCCGCCAACGAGTCTCGACACATCCTTTTCCGTGTGTGTGTGTGTGTGTGTGTGTGTGTGTGTATGCATCCTGTCACCTCCTGTCTCTACACACTTTTTTGTGTGTGTGTGTGCGTGTGTGTGTGTGTGGACAGTTGCTGCCAACGACTCTCGACACATCCTTTTCCGTGTGTGTGTTTGTGTGTGTGTGTGTGTGTGTGTGTGGACAGTTGCTGCCAACGACTCTCGACACATCCTTTTCCGTGTGTGTGTGTGTGTGTGTGTGTGTGTGTGTGTGTGTTTGTGTGTGTGTGTGCGCGCGCGCGCGCGCCAGGACCTGGGTCGCCGGTCCTGCAGGAATCCTGCCCAGTTCCTGGACACTCGAGTCTGTCCCTGCGTGTCGTGCTTCCTCCTAGGGGAGCGTGCAGGCGCGACCCCTCATTGGAGGGGCTGCAGTCCTTGGGAGCGTCCGGGTCTCCAGGGAGCGGCTTTGTGTGTGGTGGGATCCAGGTCGCCAGCCATGGCCTTCACTTTCGCGGCTTTCTGCTACATGCTGTCCCTGGTGCTATGCGCTGCGCTCATCTTCTTCGCTATTTGGCACGTGAGTAACCCACAGCAGTTTCTAACTCCTCTTTTGCCCCCAACGCACTCCTGCCCACCTCCCGAGTTTCACCTGCTTTCTATACATTGCAGGAGTGGGTGGACCGTGAGTCCAGCGGGAGCACTTGCTGGCCAGACCTTCTGCTCCTTTGTCCCGGGGCATGAGACAAACAGTTCTTTGCATCCTGAAGCTGGGCGGTATCGGGTGCGCCTTCCAGCAGCGGGTTCCTGCCCTGGCTGGAATCAACCGACTGCTGGTGCCCCTGCAGGGTGCCCTCTTCAGGGCGTGGGGCAAGAGTCCCGCCTGGGTAAGAGTGGTTGCCCACGACCCCATCTGCCTGGCTTCTTCCCCGCCCCTACTCTCCTGCCTGCGGGAGTGAGAAGCTCTGCCGTCGGCCCAGGCAATTAGTCAAGTAACTATAACAACTAAACATTTAAAATGTCAGCATCTGTGGTAGGTTGCCTTTAGACATAATTGTAGACAAAGTGGAAACACGGCGGGAGCTCCTTGTAAGAGGAAGTAGGGAGAGGCCAGGCGGGAGGGAAATCAAGTGAGGTTGGGAGTAGGAAGAGAGAAAATTTTGATGGGGAGGAAGACCAGGATAAATAAGATTGCCAGTGCAGACCTGGCCAGGCCACAGCATCCCCAGGGCACAAGCTTCCTGCCACGCTTCAGGGGCAACTCACATGGATGGTAGACAGGATCCTAGGTCATCAGGTGTGGTGTGGGACTGAGGACCAGCAGCGTCTGAAGAGGAGTAAAGAGGAAGCTGGTCTCCCAAGGGACTGTGCAACAGTTCACAAGTCCTTGACTCAGCAGGCAGCTTCCCTGTGAGGATGATTAAGCTCACCGTTCTCACCCTGGGAAAGGTTGATAGGGAAAAGGGCCAAGGTCAGGTGTTACAGAAGGAACCTTATTGTGCCTGACAGTCAGGAGTAACATCCTTTGCCCTTCTAGTAGAATGGGGAGACTGGGAGACTTACTCTGATACTAGTTTCTAGAGGCCTGCTTCTGGCAAGGCTCGGAGAGCTGGTGTAGAACAGAAGATGACCTGGAAAGAAAAAAATGGGGGCACTTGAGATGCTGATGTTTTGTATGAGTGGTTTCTAGTGTGAGAGGGTTTATCTTAAAATAGAACTCAGCAGCTCCATCAGCTCCTGCTACATGGTGCTGACAGGGAACAGAGGGGAGGGGGCTTCTATAACCATGGGGACCCTGGAAAGATGTGCCCAGATGCCTCTAAGCTTCTACCTGTTTCTGAGATTGTGTAATCACACATCTCTTGGTTTAGAAATCTAGGGATGGGAGAGAAGGGATTCAGGTATAGGAAACTGGAGACATATGAAAACTTCTGCCAGTTAGAAGTGATGGGATTTTTGAACCTCTTTTCCCTGTGCTGAAATGCTGGGTCTAGCCTACTAGGAACACTTGGGCTTTGAGACTGGTGTTAAAGAAAAATGAAACCTTACTTAATTTTGAATAAAAAGAAACTCAGGCTAGATGGTGTCCAAATGGGCAGCAGAGCTGTGTTCCTATGTTCTAAAGAAACTTTCACAGCCCCTTTGGGCTTGGGGAGCAAGTCATATTCTTGGCAGCTCATATTTAATTGCTGTTTCTTTCTGAGTTTGCCTTAACTGGAGGATGGCCGGTCCGGGGGGGGGGGTTGTCCTCAAACTTCATCCAGCTTGGTATTCTCTGTACTAGCCCCTGAAGCAAGGTGGGCTACCAGAAAGAACCATCTGCTCTCCCTTGTAGGGTGGCAGAGATAATAAATAATTCAAAAAACAATAATTAAGTGGATGGTTTGTATAGCTAAGCTTGCCAAGAGACACATTAATGGCAGTTATATGTTCCTGTGATCCTGTGCTGGTCTCCCAAATTCCTAAACTTATTCCTTAATCTGGGGGAGCACAATGCATTCAAATCCCAAGTCAGGTCCTGTCCGGATAGTGGAAGTGACATTATTGTGACAGTTCCCCAGGGTCAGTTCCTCTTTCTCAGTCTTTTCCTTCTCTCTCTCAGTCGAGCAATCCAACCCCCACCATAGTGATTTGCTTCCTGAACACTGAGAGGAGAAATTGGAGATGATTTGATTTCCTGGCACACACTGTATATATGTGAATGTTGGTTGCTTGGTGGTAATTATTTCAACCAAAATTTAGGAGAGTTGGTCCATATTAGATTTTGTGTTTGCCTTCTTTCCAGCATCTCCAGCATCCTATATTCCTATGCATTTCCTGATCTGGAGTCCTATTGATTGTTTAGCATACATTGACACTCCAAGTAATGAACCAGGCATTTACCACAGAGCAATTACATTGCTCGCCCCGTGGGACTGAAAGAGATGGAGATGGCACATCTTTTAAAAACATATCTGTACATACCCACTTAATAGAAGTTACTATTTTTTCCAGTGTGCATTTAGCCAACCTCTGTCCTATATACTTTGGGGAGGACCTCTTACATGTACCTCCAGTTACCTGCCTCCCCCTTTTTTATCTGGATGTCTAGGAACAAAGATGAATGTGGCCAGCCATAAGTACAACATTTAAGTTCTGCTTTTTACCTTGGAAATTTATCTGCTTTTCTCTCCTTTTTTTTTAAACCTTGAAAACCCATTTGCATTGTTTTCAAATGCAATTATTTTACATCAGCCACCATCTTTGAATGGCTGGTTTTGTTTTTGTTTTTTAACCATGGCTTTGTATACTTCATGCGTGTTGACCATCCTTTCAAGGGTCCTCACAGAGGACATTTTACAGATGAAGACCATGGATCTGAGAGGTCCTGAAACTTGCACAAGCTTGTGCAACTAGTATATGTTGGGACTGGGATTTAATCTGAATCTGTGAGACTCTTCAGCCATACCCTTTGCCCAGCTGGAGTCATTGGCTTTGGACTGATGGTTTAATAATAGTTCCTACCCAAAAGATTGCTTTTCTCTGTATAACAAGACTCAAAACAGTAAATATCTCCCTCCTCCTCCTATCTTTTTTTTTTCTTTTTGAGACAGAGTTTTGATATATAGCCCAGGCTGACCTCAAACAATCTTCCTGCCCCTGCCTTCTGAATGCTAGGATTACAGGCACGCACCACCATACTCAGCTCTGTGCATTCCTTTTTGAAAGAAGACATTTCATTTCATTTTCTTAAAAAATAGACTTTTGCTTATAAAAGCAAAATGATACAAGTTCATTGCCCAAAATTGTGAAAATACAATGATATGTGATGAAACAAAATCACTGCTAATCTTACCATCCAGAAAAGATTCGGTGTCTTTTGTATATTTTAAAGAATTGCATGTGGATTGTTTAGAAGGGGGAGAAAAAGTGTTCTGAAAGGTTTCTGATGTGGAGTGATGTCTGTTTGTAGCCGCCAGTCTGAAATGAACAGTGTTTACTCACAATTCAGAATCTTCTCATCTCCAGTTTGGCTGAGGCTTTTGCAGACGGTCTCGTTATATAAACACAGATGAAGCCATTCTTTGAAAAGATCAAAGATTCATTACCACTTATTTCAGGCTTTTAATTTTTCAATCTTTCAATTTCTAGAGTCACTCTAAACTCTGATAATAAACAAATAAAATTAATTCCCAGTAATCTTCCCTGGAAAGATTCATTGCATTATCTTGTCTTGAGATTTCTTTGGGTTCATGGTAGCATTTGCCTTTGGAGTATTAATGGACCTCACAGGTGATAACAGATACCTGTCTACTGAGAGGTCATTTTGCTAGGCAAAGTGTCTTCATGATTGAACCTTTTGGCCACTTCTTGCCTGTCACAGACGCAGCCACTGGGAACTCAGTAAAGGTCTCAGTTTCTCTGTTTACCCACCAGTATGAAATAGATGGGTACTTGAGGTTCACAGTAGCCTCTTTTGTTGTTCAGTATTTTGTTTTTTTTTGAGACAGGGTCTCCCTGTAGCCCCAACTGTCCTGGAACTCACTATGTAGACCAGGCTGGCTTCAATCTCACAGAGATGCACCTAACTTTGCCTCCTGGAAATAAAGGCATGCTCCACCCCACCTGGCAGTAACCTGTTTCTTAACGACCCTCCTTTGACCTATTCAGGCCTGGGAGTGGGCATGAGCTCTTGCCAGAACTTCCCTGGACTCTACTTTTGTTCTATTTGGACCACCCCATCCTCCAGCATCCACCATCAGGCATTTGTAGCTCCTTCCCATGCTTCCCTTCCTTGGCCACCCTGTGGTCTCTCCTTAGGAAGATGTGGCCATCCCCTTAGGAAGAAAAGGACCTTCTCTGTTTACCATTGTTTTTCTACAGCAGAGGGTGATACTTGGGGACAGGATGCTTTGTCAACTGTATAGCAGATTCTCCTGCTCTTCTGCCTGGCCCATTTCTGGCTACTTTTCAGGAACCACTTTTTAGATAGTAAGGGCATATGCATTCTTCTCTGGACCTTGGCACTTTGGAGAGCTACAATCCATGCAAAGAAGACAGGTCATTCCAAGGGGTCCAGGTCTCTTCTTGATGCTAGTGGTGAGCCTTCCTATAGGGGGCACCCTGGGGAAAAGGGCTGGTGAACCCGGAGGGCCCCCTTTGTCAGGCATATCTGTGACAGCTTGTGTTGAGCTGGCCCTTTCCCAAAGCTGTATCTCTACCAGCCATGTTGTGAGAGCAGAGGAGGGGGACAGAACACAGAGGTCCTAGAAACAAGCCAGTGCTGGCCCAGCCTCATCACTAGATGTGGTTTCCAGGCTTGCTAGGGTAGAATGTGACAGAGACACTAAAGCAGCTTTTCTGTGACTCTCGAGTCTCTGAACAAACGTCAAGGCAGTGAGGCTGTATGACCTTGCCAGGTCATTGGCACCCCTACCTGTACCAAGCCCGCAGCCACAACTGACCTCGCTTCCCTCTTACGCAGTCCCTCAGCTGCTGTGTCTTCACATGACTCTGGGACAGCAGAAATGGGCTAGGCAGAAGAGCAGGAGAATCTGCTATACATGACTCTGGATTTTCTTTTCTGAACCTGTTTTCTGC